CTGCGGGAGTGGAGTCCAGGTCCGACCGAAACCGAGCAACTTTGTCCGCCAAGAACTGGACATACTCCTTAGGAGGGAGCGGGTTATCCTAAACAGGGCGGCTGGGCGGGACTCGGCGGACGCAACCAAGGTGGCAATGTGTGTTTTTTTTAGTTGTCCTTAATGCCCTGATGTATTCCTTGGTGCATGCTGTCAGAAGTGCTCGGTTCGATTTGGACCTATTGGACCTCCACAAGTGCTCTAGGCGTCTCCTCCGGCGCTTCATCTCCCGGAGCTCCTCGGTAAACCAAGGAGGCCTCCGGGATCCGCCGACCCGGAGGGGCCGTAGTGGCGCAATCCGGTCAAGAGACTCCGATGCTGCCGAGTGCCAGGCAGCAACAAGAGTCTCCGCTGAACTGTGGTCGAGAGTATCAGGAATATCCCCAAGCTCCGTCTGGAACCTTAGAGGATCCATAAGTCGCCTGGGGCGGAACCACCTGGTCGGTTCCTCCTCCCTACGGTGGGGGTTTGGCCTCCGGAAGTCTAGCCTCAGTAGGGTTTTTTTTTCTTTTAACAGCAAATACTACATGAGAAACACTGTTTTGGGACAGATTCTTAACCATAGATTTCAGTATATCCCTGCACCCGTAATAGTCAAAATGTGACTATTAATGGAGTGATTGGCACTTTTTCTTCTTTTCAGTGAAGGCTGTCTTTCCTAGAAGCAATGCATTTAGGTGGAGATATTTATTTTTTATTTTATTTTATTTACTTTGTTAAACATGTATGAGATAACTGGTATAAGTATAAACATGGACATGACCACATGTATTGACTACAAATATATGGGGATAGTAGGACAGGGATGGTAGGCACACTGGTGTGCTTATGCATGTCCCCTTAGAGACTCTTAGGAATGGTGTGAAGTCCACAGTAGACAGTTTAAGGTATGTTAGGGATTGGTGAACCAAAGTGAAAACTGGGTGTTGTTGCTCATGTTTTTATTTTTCCCGGGTACCCCGTCTTTGATTTTCTGATACCCTCTTCTCCAAGTAGCAGTCTGACTGTAGTAGATTTTAGCAAGATTTAAATTTGTGGCTTGAAGAAGATTAAATTAAATTGTGAATTGCATATGACATTTACTATGCTGGTTTTCAATTTGCAGAAATGTTTAGTGTATATGAACCTTGTATAGAATGAGGTGTCCTTGTAACCTCCAACCAATCGACTTTCTCTTTGCTACAATAGCTACTTGAAATCTTTTATATTAAAATATATATTCCTGCAAAAGTCCAGGTTATGAAATGTAAAAATATTTAATGTGATAGATGACTAAAATCAAGCTTGTTTTAAGTAAGAATTGGTACATTATACACACAATTATTTTTTTAGCTGTATGAACAAATATTAAATTTGCAGTATTTGTCCATACAGCTAAATTTTTCTAAATCAATATAAATACTGTATTTTTGGAGTATAAGACGCATCTTTTTCCCCCAAAAGAGGGTGAAAATCTGGGTGCGTCTTATACACTGAATACAGCATTTTTCACCTCCCAAAACCCCACCCCATGCATCCCCTTTTTCACAAAAATGGGCATGCAGAGGGTTTGGGAGGTCTGTAAAGTGGTCCTAGCGTAGTGATGCCGAACCTTTTTTGGCTCGCGTGCCATAAGGGGGGAGCGCAGGGGGGGTCGTGCACGGGTGTGCCTCATAGGATGGTTTTTAGTCCTCCGAGGTCCCTGAAGCCTCCAGAGGGCTTAAACCAACCCTCCGAGCAAGCCGGAAGTCCATTCCTGAACTTCCGGTTTGCCCGTAGGGTCAGTTTTTTGTGCTTCGGAGGCTTCAGGGAAGCTCCTGAAGCCTCCAGAGGGCTTCCGGGGGGAGTGGGGAGGCTCTTTTCATGCTCCTCGGGCTCCTATAAAGCCTCTGGAGCCTGGGAAGGGCAAAAAATTGCTTTAAAAAAGGCTGAACTCAGCTGGCCAACGCGCGCATGTGTGCTGGCCAGCTGACAGGGCAACGCCTCATGTGCCTGACAAATGGCTCCAGGTGCCATAGGTTTGCCATCCTGGTCCTAGGCTCGAGAGGTGAAAAAGGAGCAAGGAATGGGCCCATTTGTCACAAAAACAGGACTGTTTTTGTCCTCCCAAGTTCCCTGGAGCACTCTTCAGGCCTCCCATACCCTCTGCATGGTCCTTTTTCTGCAAAAAATGAGCCCATTTTCACGAAAAATGGGCCATGTTTTGCTTATTTTTTGCCCTTCCCAGCCAGCAGCAGCACTATATATATATATATTATATTTTATATATATAAAACAGTGCATATAAGAGTATAGATCAAAGAATCACTTTTATAGAGCTGGAGAGGCTAGACATGAATTCTCTTCTCTTTTTTTCCATCTTTGGGGGGAAGGTGCTGTTTGTTTGTGTTTTTTTTTTTTTGCTGTGTGGGACATTACTGCTGAACTTATCCCATAATTCCTTAATAAAACATGTCTGGGTGAAAATTCATCATTGGTTTATTACCCTAAAAGTTTGTTTCTTCTAGGAATAAGACCTAGTCTCTAACTGCCTACATTAAGTTAAAGCATCCTTAGATAGATTCCGGGCCTCTGCAGGGTCATAGAGTGGCTTGCTATTGCCATTGACCTCTGACCTCTTCCAGAATCTCTAAAGCTAAGGGACTCCAGAGTTGACCCTGCTTAACTTCTAAAATAACCAAAGTCATCTGCATGCTCCCAACTAAGGAACTGAACACTGCGATCAGATTGCGTTCATCATCATTCATTATTATATTTTCTTGAAATGACCATCATGCCTTCATATACAGTAATATTGGGATGTAAATATGTGATTGGAAACACAATAATTTGTTTTCACATTACTGCGTTTCCTTACTTGGAACTATAAAATGTGTATTTCTTTGTCTGTGCAATACACACACACACAGATTATCTTTTCCCAATAAAAACAGTAATTTGAAGTTTGTACAGAGAGGTATTTATCTTTCAGATTGGAAGAAATTGTTCCCATTGTTTGCACAATGGGTTCCTTAAATGAATCTAAATGACAATTTCTTTTTTGAACCACATAAACGTTTTTTAAAAGGGGAGATTGGGGGCAAGCAAATCTTGCATAAATGATAATGGAGGGAACAGTTACTTCAATCTAAGATGGATAGACAAAAAAAAAAAGTGGGATTTACAGTATCATGCAATTGCTAAATCAACATTTGTAATTTATGCTTCTCACCAACAGAAGGATTTCATGAGCATAGAACTCAGTGATGGGCATATTAAAGTCAGCTATGATCTAGGCTCAGGAACAGCTTCAGTTGTCGGTGACCAGAGCCACAATGATGGGAAATGGAAATCATTCACCTTGTCAAGAATTCTCAAAGAAGGTGAGTTTTGGCAGGGATAACATCCTAATTATCTTATCCAACACAGCTAACTACCTAATCACAGAGAAAATGATGTATTAAATTGTAGGTTTAGAAAGTTGTAGAAGAAAATGATTTGGCAACTTCTTTTGCTTTCAATTATAGATGGCTCAGGTTAGTTGTGACTGATTGCAGTGTCAAATGAGTCCCTTATGATTTTGTTTTGAATGAGGTAGCTTAATTTTCTAGGCATAATTCTACATCTACAGCTACCTAAATTACACTCAGAAATGTATTCCAAGTGAAAAAATGTATTTTTCATGCAGTGCCCCGATGTTTTTCCAAAGTTCATAAAACAAATCTACACTATTTCTTTTGAATGGAAGTCAGTTTTATATTTTATGGTGTCTTTCATATTTTGCATTTCTTAAAATGACTTTAAAAGGCACTGAGTTAAATGCTGCTGGTGTTATCTCTTTGCTCATAATGCAGACTAGTTTCATTTTGCTAAGTGTCATCAACTCTTGTATTGCTGGAAGAAAAGGCTTCCTTTAGATAGAAAAGCTATCTTAAAAGTATATTGTAACTATACTTGCTATTGAATTCCACCTAGTATTTCAGAGAAAATGTAGGAATTCAAGTAAACTGAACAGAATTTCCATATGATGAATGAACATTATCAGAAGACTTTCACATGCTACTGAGTAACAGAAGAAAAATGTGTTTTTTTCCATCTATTAATATTGTTTGCTAAGACCTGGAATCAGGGAGAATGTTTTTTAATAGATTAAAATCTTCCTATATTTCTCTGTATTAAGACTGAATGCTATAAAACCATAGAATAGCTCCAATTAATCACATTTATTCTGAGAAATAAAGCCAATTGTTTTCTGAAGCATATCTTTATGTTCATATGTCTTCACTATTCTGCACTAACTTTATAGATATCATGTTTCTTCAGATAAATGTATCAATACATTTTTTTCATGATATTGGGATACATGTAAGGTGTTGCAGTCAAATAGCAGAATTTCACCTGTGCTCATCTAGGGGACTGCCAAGATCCCTTACAACTGTATAATTCTATGATTTTTGCATTTCTCAGGCCCCCAACCTTTTGTAACTCAAATCCTCAAATTGCTAGAGGAGATTCCAAGGGAAAGAAGAAGAGAGAAAAAAAATTCCATCCATCAGTTCAACTGGCAGATCATTGCCATTATCTAAATCTAAATAGATTTACCACCCACCCCGTTATACCTAGAAATGGCAAATCACGTGACATTAAAATGTATTAAAATAATATTAAAGATAACACAAAATCAGGAATAGGGTGGTATGGAGGCATTCAATTGCAAATCCCCTGCTATTAAATGGAGTTGCATGGTCTGTAGAGAGTGAACACTTATTTCTAAGAAAGCAGCAGTGGTTGGAGTGCGTTAGAAATGCCAATTGTACAAGCAAGTCTTCTGTTCATCATAATGTTGATCAATTTGGAGGGGGCTTTTTGCATGCTTTATTTGTAACTGAAGTTAACATATCATTAAACACAATGGAATTCTAAGGATGAAATAAAATTGCTATAAATTGTATATTTAATTATTAAAAATCTTCAGGCACTGCCTTCTTTTCTCATGTATTTTTATTTCTCTGCTTGTTTGTCTTTATCTTTGCAAAGTGTTCTACTTTAATATTCTTGTCTTTTGGGGATTAGATTGTATCTCAGTATGAATTTGTAAGGATGTGCTTCCATTTCCAGCTGGCTTCCAAGAAATAAAATCAGTGGGGGGAGCTGGATTCACTTAATGACTGTGTGATTTGCTTAACAACTGCAATGTTTGCTTAATTGTGGCAAAAAAGTCATAAAATCACAGGCCCAACTCATCTTACTTACTTGAAATTGTGATCTCAATCCTAGTCATAGGTCCGGAATTATCTGTATATTGAAAATACAGTTAAATGGTACAAATCATGAGTACCATTTAGATAAAGAGAGGAGAAATATTTGAAATGTTTCCATCTATACACTCACACATTAACATTTTTCTTTGTATTTCCCCAGCTAATATATCAATTGTAGACATAGATTCTAACAATGAGGAAATCATACCGGCAGTTTCTCCAGGAAAGCATTTTGGTCTCAATCTGAAAGCTGATGAGCCCATTTATTTTGGTGGATTGCCATCGCTGAGAAGAAACCTAAGGTACTGTGATTTAAAATGCAGATGATTATAAAGATTCAATAGCAAAATCTGCCTCATTCATCATTCAGCAAGACTTTATTTCCCAGTACGTTAAGAGAAATATAGAAAATGATAAGATATGGTCTCCCTAGGTTCAATTCCTGGCAAATACATGGATCCATCTGTACAGGTTTCAGGTCAATATGGGAGTGATTTGCTGTTCTGCACACTTTTAATTAGGGAATCTCATAGGCTCCTTTTATTTATAAAGGATCAGGCTTTTCAACAGGGAGGGTGAGAGTTTTTGAGAGGTCTATAAAGACAGTCAAGGGACGCAGTGGCTCAGTGGCTAAGATGCTGAGCTTGTCAATCAGAAGGTCAAGAATTCAGCGGTTTGAATCCCTAGTGCCACATAACAGAGTGAGCTCCTGTTACTTGTACCAGCTTCTGCCAACCTAGCAGTTCGAAAGCACATAAAAATGCAAGTAGAAAAATATGAACCACCTTTGGTGGGAAGTAAAAGTGCTCTGTGTGCCTTTGGCATTTAGTCATGCCGGCCACATGACCACGCAGATGTCTTTGGACAGCACTGGCTCTTTGGCTCTGAAATGGAGATGAACACCGCTCTTAGAGTCGGGAACAACTAGCACTTATATATCTTATAAAGATAGTCATATAGATACTTTTCCCCTTCCTTTTTCCTGTTACTGCCTCCATCCTTGCTATTTCATCTTTCAAATAAAATAAACAGCTGGAATAATAGTCTACTTAATTCTGTAAAAGTGTGCTTTTCTGTTGATTTTTTTAACTGCCTAATAGTACATAATTGATATTCTGCTGAATGCATCCCAGTAGTGAATCAAAAATCCATTTTAGATTTACCATAATCCGTAACAGCTTATGTAACAGAGAAAATAATATCTCAAACACACCTTTTTATTTATGTATATACCCATACACAAACATAATACAGACACAGACACATATATACATGCACATACACACACCAAAAAAAACACTTGTTTTTGAGGTTACTAACATGGTAGAGAATAAGCTTTACCTGTGTGTCCTGATTTGACCTTCATCGTTTTAAAAATAATAAGGGGCACTTTGCATTGCATGTGTAGCTTGGATTGTCCCCATATTTTGCTTAAATGATAAACAAGCATGCAGGTTCCTAAATTGTTGGTGCTCTCTCCAGCCTGCCTGCCCTCCCAGTGAGGACTTAAGAGAGAGAAGGAATTTTCAAGCTCACCTTTCAGTAGAGGCATTTATTTATTTTGCTTCCTTATATTGCTAAAATATTGAGCCTTAAGATAAATTTTTAACAAATAAGAACATGACTCTGGAACTGGTGCTGACAAAAAAGGCATCTCTGAATACAAAAAAAATTGTCATATTCCTGTTCTTCTCAACCTAGCACATTTTGAACCTTAGTTTTTTTCCTGGGAATCATACATCAACAAGTTGAGAAAGAACATACAATATAGCTTGACCATATTTTTTTTTATTCCTGTGATGAATTTTTTAAATAATTTACATCACAATTCAATATATGAAATTTCTGCCTAGTTGTAAATTATTTGTATAAACACATTTTGTAGGCTTTCAGTTCTGATTCTGTAGGAAGATGTATAGTTATTGAAATTTGTTAGATCTTAAACTGTTAATAGATAGACTATGGAACCTTTCTGGATGTTTATAAAAAAAAATGAAATAACGGTCCAAATACTGTACAATCCAGATACTTTAGTTATCACAACTTCACCTTTATAAATTAATCATAATAGACATAACATCTTCCTATCCTTGTACACAGAGATCTGGAATGAAAAGCAGCAAATCCAAATAACCTTCTGTTGTTTGATAGAACTAACAATTCAGTTATTTATTATTGTTTCCATTTCCTTCTAATTTAAAATGACCAGATTTTAAGATGGGTAAAGCGGGACACCATTGACCCGGGGGGGAAGGGCTCAGAGCACCTGAGCTGTAAAAAAAAAAAAAGCCTTCCCCCGATTGCCTTCCCCAAATGCTCCCCAACCCTTTCAAAAGCCACCCCCATCACCAGCCTCTCCCAACCGGATCCCCGCCTGCCTCCCCTCGGCTCACCCGGACCAGGTTGCTGATGGTGGCTTGCATGGCATGGCTGCAGGGAGAGCGGCGCCCAAGAGAAGCGGGCAAAAAAAACACTTCTGACAGCTGAGCCGCTTGGCCCGGGACCGAGCCTCCTCCTCGCCGCACTGCCGCCGCCAGAAAGCCTCCCGCCCCACCTGAGGCCGCCGGACGGCTGTTGCAAAAACATCACGCGTCGGCACGCGCAGGAGGGGAGGGAGCCTCGCCCCTCGTCGGGCGCTGCAAGCGAGCCGAGCGGAGGGAGGGAAACCACTGCCCTCTAAAGGCCACATCGGGAACAACACTTCAGAGAAATAAAAACTTTTTTTTAACAGCGTCCTTTTTAAAATTGATGATTTGGCATCTTTTCTTTCTTTTGGAAAATCGGGACTTTTTGAACACGTCGCGGAACACGGGACAAATTTTGAAAAATCGTGACTGTCCCGCCAAAAGCAGGACGTCTGGTCACCTTATTCTAATTGGCCATATGTTTAAGCTCTTGAGTTCCACAGAAAATCTGTTGAAAAATTAATTTCCTGCCCAGTAAGTAAGTAAGTAAGTAACTTACTTACTTACTTACTTACTTACTTACTTACTTACTTACTTACTTACTTACTACTGCCCATTTTTCAACAGGAAATTAAGCAAAATAAGTGTTAATTGGCTTAACACACACCTTTATGAAACAAAAACAGAATATCTCTGAAAGGGAAAACAAGGGACTGAAAATCCCAGATCTTCCCCCTTTCACTGGCATCCTGTCGAATGCAACTCCCTGAATTCTGCAATATACAGTACAATAATATTTTTTTAATGTGACTTTCCTCCCCCAAACTTTTGCCTAGCTCTGCAGATCTTGGAATGAACTGTCTCCATAGCTTTCCAAGATGCCAGCTGATAAAATAGTCTACTAGTTTAATCTGATCCTTTAGGAAAATCAAACTGTAAAAAATGACTAAAAGTCTTTCATTTGTCTTTCTATTCAATGTGGTTCTTACACTTTCCCTTACTCTTCTCTTCTCAGCCACAGAATTGAATGTCTCCTCCCCTCCATTAGTAAAGATGGCATAGGAATTAAAGCAGGTGTGGGTTGATGCCGGTTTTACTACTGGTTCACAACCCACATGCCAGAGGGGTGTTGCACGCACATGCACTGTTCAACGTAAATTGTTCTTCATGCAATCGCAGTCACAACCAAAATGACGGCAGCCCAGCGGCAGCAAGAAAACATGGCAGGCCTGGATTGCTGCCAGTTCTACGACCCAGGCCTGAATTGCATTATTGGTTCAGCCGAACTGGGCTGAACCAGGAGCAACCCACCTCGGAATTAAAGGGATGTGAGGGGTCCTTTGTGCTCTCTGACCTTGCTTGTTTTTTTTGCAGATGTTTCATTACCCTAACTACGGTAGGTAACATCATCAGTGCTAGTACTTGACTAACACTGATGATGTTACCTAGTTAGGATAATGAAACCTCTGCAAGAAAACAAGCAAGCTCAGAGAGCACCAAGGACCCCTCAGTTCAACCCTGAGCTACAGATATTCTCATTTATCAGTTAAAGGGATGTATGTTAGAGGAAAGGCAGCACAGCTGTTCACTTTCTTCTCTAGCCTCACACACTAATCACATGCTCCAATGGTTCCCAATTTGTAATCCATGGACCCCTGGGGAGCCATGTTGTCACAGGGCGTTCATTAAGTCTTGAAGAAATGTTATGATTTAAATCTTGAGTTAAATCTTGGGGTTCCATGGCCATATTCCAGGGACACAAAAGGAACTTAAAGGAGATCTGTGGTGAAGAAGATGTTGAGAACCATTGACAGTAGCTTAACCCTACCTTAATTTAGCGGTGAGGTCATGTCAGTATTTTGGCCAGAAAACTCCTGCTCTGTGTGTGTGTCTCTCTCTCTCTCTGTCTCTTTCTGTGTCTCTCTGTTTCTCTGTCTGTCTTTCTCTCTCTCTCCCCTCCCATCCTCAGCACAAATGAACTATTCGTGATGGTTAAAACAATATAAAGAAAAACAACGGTAGAAATATGAAAGCTAAATACCAATAAAACAACACAAAAAATAAAACCAAATATGATTACAATGCTCCTCAGAATACTTTTTTTCTGAATGAAACTGGAGAAGGGGGGAAGACTCCGTTGGAAGACTATTCTAGAGATTGGTGTTATCTCTAAGAAGCAGCAGTTCCTGGCCTCAGCTCCCATTAGCTTTCCAAAATGAAATAGTAGAAGCAATCTCTCCCTTGGCCAATTTTTATTGGAACAAGGGATCTGTACATAACCCCAATGCCAAGTAATAATGGTCAAATGTCAAAAATGACAATTTTAATTTAACTCGCAAACTAATTGACAGTCAGGGCAGGTTTCTGATCACAAGTGTTCTCAAAAACAAATACTAGTTAACACATGGTCTACTGCAGTCTGAAGGTGGCATCAAAGTGATCTTTAAAGACAATTTCAAGTAAAACTCATTGCATCCTACCTAAAATGGTAATATGAGTATGAATCACTGTAGCAAGATCCTCATAGCTGGTAGCGCAGTGGTGGCACAGTGGTTAGAATGCAGTACTGCAGGCTACTTCTGCTGCCAGCAGTTTGGCTCAAGGTTGACTCAGCCTTCCATCCTTCCGAGGTCAGTAAAATACTTAGAGAGGGCTGTAGAGCACTGTGAAGCGGTATATAAGTCTAAGTGCTATTGCTATAGCTATTCCAGCTGAAGCTGTGCAAAAATACTATCAAAAGCTGCAACTCTACGAAAGTGCCCCAATATTTACCATACTTCTATCAAGTTGAAGAAAAGGAGAACAGTTTAGCTGAGTCCTGCCTGGACTTTTGCTTTGCCTGGGCATGTAGTTCCATACTCACACAATGATGAATACATGGGGAATTTTTTAAAAGAAGTATCCAGACTCCCTAAGACTATATGTGAACTTATCTAAAAAGCTGTATCGTTATTTTAAAAATGTCAAAAATAATAACAAAACTGTTTTTTTTCCCTTTCTTCCCCCTTTTTTATTTTTTATGTTTTTTTTTTAAATCTAGTATGAAATCAAGGTAAAAGACATAACATTTAAATCAATGCTTGCATGCTGTAAGCTTTGCATGGGTTAAGTGCCGCTTGCAGCCAGTGGCAAAGCAAAAGCAATTTGTGTATGTCTTTATTCCAGCTGCTGCTCTGGGGCTTGCTCAGTTGGCAACCGATCCTGCTGCAGCACATCAAGCTACCCCCAAGTGCTTAACAGAGACCTGCCTCATGCTGTGCACAATCGCAGCAATGGACACTTAGCTAGCATCTTCACACAGTGGTTTACGTCTTGCTGTGCTGGATTTCTTTTGGGGGTTTTGTTTTCATTCATTTTTCCCCTTTTTTCCTTTTAAATTAATTAGATCAGGATCCTCAGGAAGGAAAAAGTCTAGATATTAGTTATAATAATACTAGCTTTAAAAAGCAGTCCATGTTGCAACTCAGTGTGGGTCGGATTAATGATCCAACTTAGTTGAAGGACTGAGAATTTGAAAACATGGATAGATTTTTTTTAAAATCACTATCTAACCTGAACTTTTCAAGCTTATGTATTTGAGAAGGTTGAGACAGCAATTCCCTTGATGTGAGCCATAATCCAGTGCTTCTGGAAATGTCCAGTCTAGAAAAACTAAAGTCTTATATTTCCATAAAGGTTAGAGGAATGTCTCTTAAAAGGACTTTTTTTTTCTGTGTATTTTAAGGAAGTGTCCTTTGGGATTAAACTGGATCAGAGGTGATATTTAGCCGGTTCGGACCAGTTCAGGTGAACCGGTAGTGGAAATTTTGAATAGTTCGGAGAATTGGCAAATACCGCCTCTGGCTGGCTCCACCCTCCTGCCCCCATCATTCCTGTCCTATGTTCCCTTGTTTTTTAGCTCAGCTGATTCGTGTGGCAGAGCGGATTGCCACGCCTCAGCTGAGTTAAAAAAACAGCTCAACTCACCAGCGTTGACACCGAGGGCAATCTTTGAGTGCTGCGCACGAGCTCAAAGTGTGCGTGGGCACAAAGCACGAGCACGCAAAGCACGAACTCACGTGCAAAGTGCACTCTCAAAGAACCAGTAGGAAAACATTTGGAATTCCACCACTGAACTGGATAAAGATCCAAATGGTCCAGCAACTTGTTTTGAACAGAAGACAACAAGATGCCTTTGTATGTTTGTAAGGCAGATATAAAGCTGATCATTCTCAGTCCTCTGCTGTTTTCCTCTGTGCCTCATGGGTTACAGAAGATTGCCTCAGTAGCTAAAGGTTCTGTATAGCAATCCTGGTAATAACATTCAGATTTGTTTCCATTGATTCTAGAAGCCAAAGCCTTGTCTGTCATGTATGGCATTTTTAATTAACTTCTTTTTTTTTTCATTGCTTCAAAACAAAACTTCAAAATTGTTTCCAATACGTCCTTCATCCAGATGGCCCCTGCATATGTATGCTAAATTTAGAATTTAAATTCATGTGATAAGCCTGAGGACAGAGATTTTCTTCTTGCCAATCTCTGTAAACTGTGCTCTGTTCCTTTAAATAAGTAATTAAGGAATACCATGGCCTTTCCTTAAAAATGAACCATAAAATCAATTTTGGAGTCATTTCAACATTTCAAATTTGTTCAAGTAGATTTTCTAGACCAATGTGGATTTTTGTGAGTTGATTTGGAGTTCCCAATTGGATTTGACAACTTCATTCAGAACAATAATTCATTGAGAGATTTGATCAAATCACTTCAAGTCAAATTTCTGAATCTGGGCATCATACAGCTCAAGAAATATTTTGTCTTGAGGGAAGTAAAGTTGTTATAAAAATGGAATAGACTTTTAAGAAGCAGAATTCACATGGGAGAATAATGTTTGACATTAAGTTAAAATTAAATTGTATTTATTATTACCAGATCTGCTTTTCTAGCTCTGTTGGTGTCCACGGGGAAACAAGAATAAACAGCATGCAAATTACCCAATTCTTACATTAACTTTGGTTGGCAAAATAGAATAGAATGGGGATAGTTCCTTCTTTTTTAATCTAAACATCTGAGTATTGCCAATTTTTTAAAGATGGATGCTATGCTTTGCTGAGATGGCTTCAGCGCAATTCAGCCTACCAACAGTAAAGCAAAATTTTAAAAGTGCTGTTTATGAACATTTAAGTTGTTAAATTAGAGTCTGTTACAATTCTGTACATATATGAATTGTGAATGATTGTCTTTCGTATCTAATGCCAAATATTAAATTCTTATTTTCACAAGCGTCTCTCACTTGGATGGTAAGTTGATAAGTGTATAAGTTACCCACCTATCTCAGGATATCTCAATTTTCTGTAGCCTATTTTCTGTACAAAATTCAATGCCAATCTATTCATGAAATAGTTTTTTTCCTGACTAGCGGAGTGGTAACATGAACATAGTAAATATTGATAAAAAAGTCAGCATTATTTGGTCCTTGGGAGGGAGGAATCATTGGATTATTGCAATGTGTTGCTGTTGTTGTTTGTAAATCTTTGAAGTTGGAGTATTCTGTTCAAGACTTCAAGATACATAGTAGAATGCATTTTGAATTACATTTCTGCCTTTTGAGCAAATATAGTTAGTACAAATCAAACTTAAACATTAAAACTGGCAATATACAATACTTTCAAAATTGCACAATAACAGTGATGCTTTTAAGTAGATCACGTGTCAGGCTAGTAAATTGTTAGAATATCTTTAACTGGAAATTCTAGCATTAGAAAAATAAACATGAGCATTTTAGATATTGGGAGGCAAAATATACTGTATATGTACTAAATATAACTTAATGAACATACAGTAAATGTAATTCTGATCATAATTAATTCTTATTATCGGTAATCCTCAGGTTATGATAACAATTGGGACTGTAACCTCCATTGTTAAGTGATCCAATCCTAAAGTGTAACATCACATGACTGTGTTGCTTAGTGATGGCAGTTTTGCCAGTCCTTATTGCCATTGTCCATATCATCTCTATGGTCCTAATACCTAAGTAAGGACTTCATAGGATTGTATTATGAGAAGGCAGGAGTCCTAAGTAAGCAAGTTGGTAGACTATGGGCAGGAGGACAGGGATCAGGGATAGGTACTAAGAAGTGTTTATAGAATTCTTTTTGTCCTGGAATGTTTCTTGAAAATAACTCTATTTTTTCTTTATATTGACAGACCAGAAGTAAACACAAAGAAATACTCAGGCTGTCTCAAAGATATTGAAATTTCCCGGACACCATATAATCTTTTAAGTAGTCCTGACTATCTTGGCATTACCAGGGGGTGCACATTGCAGGTTAGTTTTGGAACTCTCTATGTTCTCCTTGAGCAAGTTAAAACTAGTGGTTTGGCAAATGGTTAAGTTATAACTTGCACTGAATTAATTAAGAAAGGAGAAACTTGCCCATAGGTAAATTTTTGTATACATTTCTCCTCCTCTTTTCACGTTATTATATATTTATTATATTAATTATATGAGATATTTCCACTATGGCAAACTGTATTATATATGTGGGTTATTCATATCTTTCTCTACTTGCACTAAGGAATTTAAGACAATATATATGGACATCTAAAGCAGAATTGCTAAGGACAATTCTTAAATATATTCTACAGTAGTATATTGGACAAACTAAGCCAAACTCATATAACACTAGTTACTTAAATGATGTGAAATAAAACATTTTAATATCTACCAGTATGAAAAATAGTTAAACCACAAATCAAGCCATGAATAATTTATTGATCAGTTGAGCTCAGTTAACATTATTAATGCTAATAATAACAATGATGATGATAATAAACCAGTGAAAAGTGAAGGAGCCTAAATACAACTGGCTTGACTTTGAAGTGGGAGGGAGAAAATTAAATCCATGTCTGTATAATTTACAAAAATAGCATGGAAAATGAATATCATATACAATCAATTACATCAATAGCATAAATAATTATGTTATAGTGCAGGTTTAGGTTGAATTACATTGTTTATTACCATTGTTTCAGTGGTAAAATTTGAACATAGATTTCCATTGCATCTAATCCATCAAACCAAAGTTTCATTATAAGTATTCCTTAATTTTCAACTGTGCATTTAATGTTGGTTTGAAATTACAATTGTTTTAAAAAAAGTGACTTACCATTCTTTCTCAAAGTTATGGCTGTTCTATCATCCTTGAACTCCTCTGACTGTAGTTTGGGCATTTGGCAATTAGTTTGCATTTGTGACGGTTGCAGTATTTTATGATCATTTGATTGCAGTCTGTGACCTTCCCAGCCATCTTCCAACCAGCAAAGTCAATTGAGGAAACCGAATTCACTTAATGATTGTATGATTCACTGAAGTGAATTACTTAACAACCACAGGATTCACTTACCAACCATAGTAAAATGGTCTTAATATGAGGTCCTGACATGTGATGGTTCACAATGACCACATCGCTTAGTGACCAAAATCCCAGTCCCAATTTTGGTCATAAACCAAGGACTACCTGTATATGGCAGCTCAGGATTTGGATATCTAAAGGACGATTACTTTTCATATTCACCAGTCAGTGGTGGGATACGACTGGTACGCCCCGGTACAGGTATACTGGTGCCTGCTAGGAGCACCAGGTACCCTTCCGGTATGGTGCTCCAGAGGGCCCACCTGCCCACCCGTTCTCTTTACCACTATTTGAGTCGATTGGGGCTTTTGCGCTCGAGCACGGAGTGTATGGTGCCTGCACAATGCACCACTAAGCAGCTGGAGCATCGTGGGCAGTAAGTATGCATATGTGCACTGCGTGCATGCTGTGCACGTTCAGGTGGTGAACGTTGGGCCCCATTGCAGCGTACCGGTTGCAACAGGATCCAGAACCCACCACTGTCACCAGCATATAAGACCAACCTCAGATGCCTCTGTGTTGTTCTGCCCTGTAAGGATTCTTCCACTATCACCTTATCTCTACTGGGTTCTTCAAACCATTACCCTATAGCAGTCCATATACATTTTTTTTAATTTTAGCATCCCAAGTTTGGAATTAACTTACTAGGAGTTTTGAGAGGAACCAAATCTCTCAATCTCTCTTACTAGGAGTTTTGAGAGGAACCATCTGATATCATACTGTCCTTGAGTCCTCTTCTGTGAGGTAGTTATAATACTGGTTATCAAGGCTGCCACCTAGCCATCTATTTGTGCCTTGAAATTCCTTACTGAAGCTTTCCCCTGTAACATCTTTCACTAGTTCTGCATTTACTTTCCTTCTGAACTCCCATGGCATACCTGATTCCTGTTCCTAGAAAAGGGGGGCGGGAGAGGAGGGTAATTGACAAGCTAAAAAGAGGGACATCAAGGGAATGCCCAACTACTTAATAGTTCTCTGTACTGAGGACTTCAAAGGTATAGCACATTTTTGGCAGCCATCTGCCAATCCTAGATATCCAGGACCAAAACTAATAGGATACTGGAAGAAGCTTCACATAAAAAATTATTTCAGGCTGAATCTAAGCCTAACAAATGTTTTCAAATGCTGAATAATTTAACAGATGGAGAAGTGCTTGTATAGCACTTTGAAATGTAAACTGTTCCACCATTTGTTATGATCTGCTGTTACAAGCATTTTTTTTATTCAATTCCTTCTTTCTTATAGAATATCTACACAGTCAGCTTCCCTAAACCTGGCTTTGTGGAGATGCCGCCAATCCCTCTTGAAGTGGGAACAGAAATTCACCTGTCCTTCAGTACTAAAAATGAATCTGGTATCATACTCTTTGGTACTAATGAAATACCTGTACCTCCAAGAAGGAAACGCAGACAAACAGGGCAGGTACGGAATGATAAAGGGATTGTTTGATTAACTCTTATGAGAAAATCATTGGCAGGTATTTGCTCAGATTTTTGAACTAAATTATTCCAGGTTACTATGATCCTAAAATGGAATGCAGTCTCAAGAAAATCCATCCACTTCTTCTTTTGACAGCTTTAAAACAAGTAAATTTTTAATCTTTATTGTATTATTTTAATATTATTTTAATTAACAGGATAGAAAGAAAGAATGTAAATTAATTCTTTACAGAAAGAAGAATATAAAGAAAGAAGGATATAAATTAATTAAATAACATTTATGCAGCTTAATTTTTCAAATGATACAGGGTTTATATTTAGAATAGGAGAGGAGGGGAGTGAAGAGGAGAAAAGCGAAGGGAAGGGAAGAGAAGAGAAGAGAGAAAAGTTTGATGATGTTATGATAAAAATAGTGAAGCTAGAAACCAAAAAAACTGTGACTTCTCTTGCCACCAATGAAGGGATGAAGCCAAGTGAGTGCCTTCGACCAATCACTTTCTCTGAGCCATAGAAAGGAAGCAAGGGTGAATTATAATTACTGTATGAGGATGAATGAAATTCAATGAAGAGTAATGCAAGGTTCTACACTTAGGCCAGAAAACCCAAATGTACAGGTATAGATTAGGTGAAACTTGGCTCAATAGCAGTAACTGTGAGAGGGATCTTGAAATCCTAGTGGACATTTACTTAACTGAGCCAGCAGTGTGCTGCAGCTTCCAAAAAGGCCAGCATAGTCCTAGGCTGCATTAACAGAAGGATAGAATCAAAATTATGTGCAATATTAGTACAATTTTACAATGTTTTGAGAAGGACGCACTCTTGGAATATTACATCCAGTTTTGGTCACCACAATATAAAAAGATGTGGAGATTCTGGAAAGAGTGCAGAAAACCACAAAGACGATTGGGGGCCTGGAGGTAAAATAGGAACAGTTGCAGGAATTTGGTATGCCTAGTCTAGTGGAATGAAGGACTGGGGGTGGCATGATAGCAATGTTCCAATATTTGAGGGGCTGCCATAAATAAGAGGGAGGTCAACCTATTTTCCAAAGCACCAGAAGGCAAGATGAGAAGCATTGGATGGAAACTAATCAAGGAGAGAATCAACCTAAAACTAAGGAGTAATTTCCTGAGAACAGTTAACCAGTAGAATTGGGTTGCCTTCAGAAATTGTGGCTGCTCCATCACTAGAGGTTTTTAAGAAGAGACTGGACAACCATTTGTCCGAAATGATATAGGATCTCCTGCTTGAACAGGGGGGTGGACAGGAAGATCTCCAGGGTCCCTTCCAACTCTGTTCTGCACTTCCAAAATCTTGCCAAAGTGCTAATGACTAGTCCAGGAGGTAGTCATGAAGTACCCCCCCCCCCAAAAAAAACCCCTCCACCATACAATATTGGTATATTTTAGTCTAAGATGAGGAACCAGCACAATGGAAAGAGGCCTCCAAAATGTTGTATGAGATGTTTGCATCTATTCTGTTGTGTATTTTAAATGATTCCTTTATTACAGTTAAGTATGTTATGTAGATATTCAAATTTATAATTAAATTTAATGTTCTTGTGCTTTTTGCACTGAAAGTAATGGGGAAATAAAAGAATAAGACAACAAGCTTAAAGTAGGACCCTTGAAAAATTAATTCCATTTTCATCTCAAACAATCAATTTTGTCTGTACTTCTTGAATGGAATTGAATTACCCCTTGGTTTTTGCACTTTCCTGAACTTTAGTATGCAATCTTGGCTTTAAAAAACAATAATCATATTAGAATGAAATTCATGGTAGATTCATTATTTCAGTATAAAGTAATTATAACAATATATTTTTGGGGGAAGGGAATTCACATACATTTTAAACTGAAAATTGACACAACAAAAGAGAAAAAACAGTAACCAGCTGATACAAGCATTCTAGTGTCTACAGCAGGACTGTCAAATTTGTGGCCGATAAGCCAGATGTGTTACACGCTGGCCACACCCACGCCCGGTTTAATGAAGGGGAAAACAGTTGTGATACGTCATGTAATGATGCCTGACGATGTGAATTTGACACTCCTGCTCTACAGTATCCATGTCTTATCAAACCTAAAAGCATTCTTAATTCAGTGTGTGATTACAGTAGTAGGTAGGCATGTAGGTATGTACATACACGCACACACATACAGACACACACACTGCTCCTTTAGTGTATGATTTAGGTAAGAATTTAGAAGAGCTGTTTAGGGAAATCTTAATTACACTTTTGTAAGTGATGGCTCAGTGGCTAAGATGCTGAGCTTGTTGATCAGAAAGGTCGGCACCTCGGTGGTTTGAATCCCTAGTGCTACATAATGAAGTGAGCTCCCGTTACTTGTCCCAGCTTCTGCCAACCTAGCAGTTCGAAAGTATGTAAAAAATGCAAGCAGAAAAATAGGAATCACCTTTGGTGGGAAGGTAACAGCGTTCCATGCGCCTTTGGCATTTAGTCATGCCAGCCACATGACCAAGGAGACGTCTTCGGACACTGCTGGTTCTTCGGATTTGAAACAGAGATGAGCACTGCCCCCTAGAGTCGGCAACGACTAGCACATATGTGCAAGGGGAACCTTTACATTTACCTTTAATAACACTTTTAGAAGCTATGGAAGGAATACAATTCAAACTCTGGTTTTCAGTAATGTATGCAGATGATACATACATATTCCCTTCCCTTTTTGATAAAATCAGTACAATAATCCAGATTAGAACTCCACCATACCTTCAAATCATTGCTAGTAGCTAAAACTAGTCAGATTCTCCAGATTTAACAACAAAAAAATTATTAAACTTGTGTGTTATCTGACTAATACAGTAATGAGTTTTTTCCCTGTGTGTCCTTTTCTGAATTACCAGCAAAGGAGTCTGTGTTGCCTTGGAGAAAATGATTTAAAAGCATAAAATTAGGAATAAAGGCTTTTTGCTAAAATGCTTGTGGTTCCTCGCAGGTGTATTATGCTGTATTCCTGAATGGAGGTCGACTTGAAGTACATATTTCTACTGGAGTAAGAGAACCACGCAAGATTGTTGTGAAACCTGAGTCTGGCGAGTTTCATGATGGCAAAGAACACTCCCTTTGGTTGGAGAGACTTGGAGGGTAATAATTCAGAAATTAGGGGTTCTGACCCCTCTATTTTTCTGCCAGGTGCCTGAAACTGTAAGAGAGAATAATGAAATCAGTTTTGTAGTTTTCATTTAAAAGTCATCTTCTAACAATGGTGAATTTATTGCTACTCAGGTTATGCTTTAGTGTAGGCATTACTGCTTCAAGTTTCCTTTCTTTCTTTCTTTCTTTCTTTCTTTCTTTCTTTCTTTCTTTCTTTCTTTCTTTCTTTTCTTTCATTTAGTTTGTCAAACATGGACGAGATAACAGGTAAAAGTATAAGCATGGACATGAACACAAGAAATGGGGACGAATAAATGGGGACAATAGGACAGGGATGGTAGGCACGCTGGTGCGCTTATACATGCCCCCTTACAGACCTCTTAGGAAAGGGGTGAGGTCCACACTAAACAGTTTAAGCTTAAAGTTATGGGGCTTTGAGGTTGTAACAACAGAGTCGGGTACTGCATTCCAGTCATTGACCACTCTGTTGCTGAAGTCATATTTTCTGCAATCAAGTTTGGAGCGGTTTACCTTGAGTTTGTATCTTTTTTTTTTTCCCATGTATTATTACGATTGAAGCTGAAGTAGGCATTGACAGGTAGGACGTTGTAGCAGACAATTTTGTGTACTATGCTTATGTCAGACTTTAGTTGGCATAGTTCTAGGTTGTCCAAGCCCAAAATTTCAAGCCTGGTGGCATAAGGTATTCTATTGCAAGTAGAGGAGTGGAGTACTAAATGTAAATCTAAATGGCTTTTTTTAAACTTATATACCTTTTGTAAATGCACTGAAAATGTAGCCAAGGAATTGGATTATGAGCTAATATCAAAGAACAACTTCCAGTAAGAAGCCAAAGTAACAGCAGAGTCTAACTGACCAGAAATTAAACTTCTCTATATTTATATGCTATTTGTAAAATGTTACTGAAGAGAAAGAGAATTTGGATTGCCAAGCAAAAGAAAAATGGGATCATGGTTTTCTGAGCCAGGTATCAAAGCCGTGATTGATATGCCCTCATACACAAGGGAAGAAAGTGACTCAAGAAAAAGATATTGATACAAATACAGTACTGAATTATGGCAATTACTTTGCCCTTCGATTCTCCTGTTTTCCCTTCAATTGTTGTTCAACAGAGAAGCAATTGTTGTTCAACAGAGAAGCAAGAAGCTAGGGCTGAGACATCTGGGCTGAAAAAATCCAAATTGCTACTAAAAGTTAGCAAAGAAATAGAGAAATCTCTCTTTGCTACCATTGTGGGATTTTTTTCCCCCCAGCCTCAATCCGATAGCCTGGCAGAAGCATTTCCATATGCAACCATTTCCAAATTAGGTTTATGGAGCAATGAGACTCTTCATAGAAGGAGGTAATGCTGGCTGCAATTCTTTTTGCAGCTAAGTTAGGATATACATAAACCACAAAATAAGTGATGGTGGCTTAAGGAAAGAAGAGGAATACATTATGACCCTATATAGATTAGAAGCTTCCTTTGATCATAATAGGATATATGTTACGATCTTTTGCTCTGAGAAAGCTTTTTGAAACTGGTTTCTCACTGCATCTATAGTATATATAGCTGAGTTCTGTAATCTTTAAAAAAAAATCTGTCAGCAATGACTGTGTAAGTTTGGGAAGGACACAAATAACCTTGCCACTGTTTTTTTCCCCAAGCAGAATGTTATTTTAATGTATTGCACCATGGCATTTTCAAAAATGCACCATATGTTAAGACAAGATATTCTGGTCACCTGTCAACAATACAAGTCCATTCCCTTTTGTAACACCATTAGTGAAATGAATACAGTATAATGAACACAGGAAATACCCAGCAGAAGAAGAAAAAAGACAGAATTGATAGCCAGACCACTAAATATCCATAAAATTGTGGCTAAAGCCAGCAATGGATTTGAAAAGCGTTTGACTGCTTGGCTGCTTCCTTCTCGGACCCAGCATCAGGCTAAGCCCAAGAAGGATGTGGAACAGTGCTTATACAACAGACAGAATCATGAGCCCTTAATACCCTCAACCTAACAGACATGCCCTGGGAAAGTCTAAGGAGTGGCTATCGAAACTCTCTTCCTCTGTCTCCTACCTATCATTGATCCATCCATCATCCATCCATCTATCTATCTATCTATCTATCTATCTATCAATCTAATCTAATCTAATCTAATCTAATCTAATCTATCTATTTATCCTCTGTCTATATATCTTCCTTGAAAATGTAACCATCTGTACTGGCAGCAATCATCAATTTTATTAGATTTCCAGTTGCTAAAAAAATTCTTAATATTTCACTGATAACAAGGAAATTGATATATTGATAGTACTACAATAACACTACCAGTAATTTAAAATCCCAAACAATACATCATTTATTTTAGCAATGTAAATTGAAACAAGACTATGTTGATATGTTTACGTACAAGGACAGTTTGTAGTTATTACAGCTTCATACTTTTTTTTCTAGTGGACAGAAAAGCATCCTAAACTCATTCTTTAAAGAAGCCTTTATCCAAACAGCAAACAACAGATTTTTACAAACTGGGTTGTTGTAAAACTGGAAAGAGATCATTTATTACACTAATCACTCCATCTGCTAATTATCACACAGGCTTTATTTTATTAAAAGTGCATTTTTGAAAACTCTTTGGAAAGCTAATTGCCCATATAATTATGAACTAATTGCTGTCCATTCCAGGATAATTATGTGATAGCATTGACAAGTGAAGTTCTTTCTTTGTGTGCTGGTCTTCTCTGCCTGTGGATAAGCATTTTCTTGGACAAATTCAACAATAGCAAAGTGCTATGTAAATTATTAGAGATTTAACCAGTAACTATGTTAATAAGTCATTATATATATATTTCTAGCTTTGCTATAAAGATTGTCTCTTAGTGCCTGTTAATAATGTCTAACAAGAACAATAGGCTTTTATTATTCTATTATCTGGCATGGGACCACCCATTTGGAAGGACGGAGAAACTTGAATGCTTTATCCCAATGCCTATTCTGAAAACTAGAGTGATTTAGTGTACATAATCATAGTGTAAAAGGTTGAAAGAAAACTGTTGTTCTAAGCTTCTGTATAAACTGACTGGAAAAACCTCTTTCAGTGCTGAGTTACTATTATGTTTGGCTTCAGGATTTATTTTCACCCTTGGATCCATGCTAAAAAATGAATGTGTTCTCTTTGTTATGTCCAGCAATTTTGTTGAATTTTAAAATTAGGGATTGGTAAGGTCTTAAAGCTCATGTAAATGGACCAGACTATTTCCATGCTCATTATTCACTATGAATATATTTATTTACATGTCTTGAAATTCCATTGTTCTCTTTTGACATTCATGGTTTTGGGAATGTTGCATCTATAAGTTTTCTAGAAATGTTTTTACCAAATCAACAGGTAATATGTTAAAATTCATTCCATTTAAGCCATTTTTGAAGAAACAATATATCTAAAAAAATAAAGAATTTGGAGGAGGAGGAGAATTTAACAGTGATTGTTAAGCTAGAGATGAAATAAATCTAAGGAACATTAGTATTCTATATATGTTTTGGATATGTCCATTAGTAACCTGTTACTGGTTAAATATTACTCCTATGGTAAACCAGGATAGGAAGGAAATTTGCAATAGTGCAGGGAAGTTATGGCTTAAATATGATAACATACTGTTAAATTATTATATTCTGGTATTTTGTGCATAGAGAGCCTGGCTCAATTAAATTTGTCAGCTCTCAGATTCAAGGACTCTATAAATCAATGGGAAGACAAGATCAAACAGTATAATTCCATACAGTCATGATTTGGGGAAAATAATATGCTTCTTTCTCACTGTACCAAAAGTTCCAGCTTTTTAAAGGCCATCATTGCAGTGTTGTATTTAATCAGGGTGATTTGCTAATGGTGGGCTTTTCATAATTCTGCAGGCTGTTTGCCATTCAAGTAGATGAGGACAGAAGACAGTCCCAACGTCTCCCAACAGACCAAGCTATCTCCATTAAAAGGCTTTTTGTGGGAGGAACACCACCTGAATTTCACACACTCCCAATTAAAAGCATACCTGCCTTTGATGGCTGTATATGGAATCTGGTTGTCAATGCTGTGTAAGTATATGTTAATGCTGATCCAGAAATAAACCAGGATAGGAAAGAAATTTGCAATACTGCGGGGAAGTTATGGCTTAAATATGCTAACATACTGTTAAATTATTATATTCTGGTATTTTGTGCATACAGAGTCTGGCTCAATTAAATTTGTCACTGTATATGGAACCTGGTTGTCAATGCTGTGTAAGTATATGATAATGCTGATCCAGAAATATATAACTCTTAAATATTTGTGGCTTCCCATATTTTACATGAAAGGAAGATTTAAAAGAACTGTTTCCAAACTCGATTCAGAATCAGAATAGAGCTGGAAGGGACCTTGGAGGTCTTCTAGTCCAGCCCCCCTGTTCAAGCAGGAGATGCTACACCATTTCAAACAGGTCCAGTCTCTTCTTAAAAACCTCAAGAAGAGTGTAATATTAATACAGTATCAGGGGTTTTCAATTCAGTTCTATAGAATGTGAAGGATACATGTTTCTGACTTTCCTTTTTTTCCGTGATCAGTCTGGAGGGGAAACTGTAGCGATATCCATGGGGTTTGGGATGGAATACAGCCTGCTCAATCATTCTGGAAGAATTCTGTAAAATTTCCCTGAAGTCTCGTATCCATAGTCAGGACTAAACACTTTGGCCTCTTCTCCTAAGGATAGTTACTGTAATTCAGAGTCTACCTTCTGAGGATTTAGCATCTATTTCTTCTTTTAATAGTTTTTTTTTTAAATTTCTTAATGTATCTGGAATGAAGCAGCTTCTAAAAATGGCAACCATAATATCTTAATTACTCGCATTAGCGACCTGGATGTCATTGATCTTCAGTATGAAGAGATGATTTACCATATTTTTTTATCCTGACATTACTCCAAGCACCTTATAATAATATTCATGTCTCTGTATCCCCTGTTTTAATATAGGAAGTTGACTAAGGTTAAGAAATAAGTCGTAGTCCATGGTCACTCTCTGCATTTCACGGCTTTGTGGAATTTTAAACTCAGTCTGCAGTGTCATCTTCAATATGGCAACAATGCAACATTGTCACTGCACATGCTAGAACCTTTTAAAGCAAATCTAGCCTCGCTCTGGTTCCACATAAATTAGTTACAATCCATACTGAATTGTTCATTTAACTAATATAAGGGCATAGAAGAGATGATACTGAATAAGGCATTATTTCATGCTTCTGCTTTCATTGTTTTTCCATAGTCCAATGGATTTCGCCCAATCAGTAGCCTTTGAAAATGCAGATATAGGACAGTGTCCTGATTCAGGACAACATCATGAAAAGGAGGATGAAGATGGAACTCCTGAAACAACAAGTCATCCTGAACCAGAGAAGGAAGAAAGGAAAGCAAGTACAACTTCTCCTCCTCCTCCTCCTTTCCCACCTTTACCGGTAAGCATTTCTGTGACATTATTGTGGGTGTATTTTTATATTTATGAGACTAGGATGCCACACAGTTGTATGATGTGGAGCATTAACAGTTTTTCACATTTTTTTAACTAAGCACTGCAAAACTAAGGGTGCACGGACAGTATTATAAAAATGCAATGGGAGCTTATATTAAAGGAAGGCAATAAAGGTGTGTGTATGTGTGTGTGTGTTAGATCAGCAGTCCCCAATCTTTCCAGCTTTGCAGACCGATGGGGGGTGGAGGAAATGTTTCTGTGTGAGCGGCAGGCATACATGCTCACACACACAGCTCCAATTGCATGAGCAAATGGACAATCATTCTCATGGCTACCCTTGTTCAAATGGTGCTACGCACATGCACTTGCCCAATGCTTGCAGAGCCCAATTCTGAATGAGTCACGGGCCACTTGAAACAGGGCCATGGCCGGAGATTTGGTACCCCCCCCCCATATTAGATTATGCTTGCCAAACTGGCAGTAATGCCATGAGCAACCCACCCCTGGACTAGCACATATGTGCGAGGGGTACCTTTACCTTTTACCTTATATGTTATTAAGATAAATCAGAAGAAACAAAAACTAACCATTTTTTTCTTGATGCTGAAAAAGCCTATGACAATTTGGGATGGGATCTTTTTGTTGCAGCTATCAAAAAAAATAGACTGCATACCTAATATTTTTCCCTACATGTAGAGAAACTCTGGAATAAATATAGGAAAAAAATAAGTCTACATTTTTCTGCTTTTACCTCCTTATTGAATGCTTTTTTTATATGAACTAGGGTACTGGTTCATATAAATTTGCTTAATGGAGAGAAATCATCTTGACAGATTACAAAATTTAATTTGTCAACAGGACAAATTAAGATACTTAAATCTCTTAAATATGCAGCGTTCTTCTTCAACTCACAATTTGAGTTAAAGTCTGTATGATTAAATGGATGCAGAATTTGAATATAGTTACTAAAGATGTTTAAAGATGATTAAGGTTTGATACATAAATAAATAAAATAAAGATGAAACAGTAGGAATTTAAATGAAAAATTATTTATTTAATTAAATTGTTATGCTGCCCATCTCCCTTACAAGGTATATCTGTGCATCTTTCAAGTAATATCATTTACAGAATTGTCTTTGTGTATTGTTTATTATCTTTTGTCTTTCTTTCTTTCTTCCTCCTCTTGACTCCAGTTCTATTAATCAAGCATCTTTAAAGTGTAGTAGAGATGTATTTTGATTATAAAAAAGATATGAAATGGCTTAGTGTTATAAAATTTTAATTATGTGCTATACTATTCTAATTATATGATATCTTAAATTTATTGATTCACAGCTCACATTTTTAAGTTATATTGGTTTTTTTAAAATCTGCATTATCTATTTTTATATTCTTTTAAATTTGTACTTAGCTCGGTACTATCTTTTATATTTTTTTTATCCCACCTTTATTTTATTTTAATAACTCAGTGCAGCAAACATGCACAATACTCTTTCCTTCTCCTATTTTTACAGAGGGAGGAGAGAAAGAGAGAGGGAGGGAGGGAGGGAGAAAGAGAGAGATGGGTGGGAGATAGTGAGTTTCCAAGCTGGCAGCTTCACCATTATACAGGTTCCAAAATATTCATGCAATTAATTAAGCCGATTCAACCCAGAAATACATTTTACATTTTTTCCTCTTTCTTTTAAAAGAATAGCATATAGGTTATTAAAATAAATAGGAAAAGAAAGTCTCAGATGGCAGAAATCAAACAGAATCAAAACATGACATGCAACAGTTTGAAGTAAGATTAGAAAATTGAAAAATGAAAGCACTCCATGGGCATTTTTTGAAAGATACTGAAAGAAAAATCAGAGGATAACAATGGCTTAAACACATTTTATTTTTTTTATTTTTTAAAAAGAAGCAAAAGGAAACCTTTTTGTTCCCCAAGAAGAAGCCCTATGCACAGATGACATTAGGTCAAAATAGAAATAGAAAAGAGAAAAGACTCAGTTTGAGTAGTAAATGCTGGTTATGCCAGGATAAGGATGAAACATTTGACCATATGATAATGGGATGCAGCAATATTACAGAAATTGAGTACAAAAGAGGACATGTTCAGATTAGGATGACATTGCACTGGCATTGATGTATAAAGTGCAGCTCACAGTCCATAAAAACTATTTGAAACATGAAATATAAGGGTTTTGCACATGGCAGAGGAAAATTTTTAAGAGATTTTAAATTCTGACTGGTTGAAAGTCATCATGCCAGAGATTATTATCAATGAACATGTTTGGTTAATTGATGTAGCTAATAATTTTGAAGGCAGATAATTGGAAAACACTGCAAAATAAGGTTTGCAAAAATCTGGGAATGATTGACATTAGGAACGAAGTATAAGCACCATAAGAATTTAGAATTTTGAACAAATTATAACAGCCCAACTATAAACAAGAGCACAACTGAGAACTTCATACACATTTTTAAATCTATTTTTATGATTATAATACATATTTAACATTAAGGAGTGACTTTAGATCTTTCTTTCATTATGTCCTATTATAATTCACTGTAGGTGTCTCAGGTTAGATAATGACTATAGGAGTTTTCCAAGAAATGTCTTTTTTGATACTATTTTTGATATTCTATTACACGGGTCCTCAAACTATGGATCAGGGGCCAGATACGGCCCACCAAAGCCATTAAACCAGGCTACAACTACCAGGCTACAACTACCAGGCTACAACTACAAGGCTACCCTGCCCACATGGCCCCACCTACCCACCAGCCCCCACCTACTTTCTGGAAACCAAGGAGACCAAAAATAGAACACATTTTTGGGTGGCAGAGTGGTTCTGAAGGCCAAGGAGAACAAAAAATGGGCCCATTTTGTGCCTCCCCAACCAAGACACACACACACACACACACACACACACACACAGAAGTCCCTCACACACACCAATGCAGCCACATCCTTTCACCAACCTGCTTTCCACCCCCAGGACCATAACAAATTAAAGTTTAATTTGTGTGCATTGTTTAATAAACTACTAAATTGTCCATGCCCACTCAGTCACACACCCACCTAGCCATGCCCAGCCAGTCATATGACCACCTAGCCACACCCAGCCAGCCCGTCCCCCCAACAGTCTGAGGGACGGTGAATTGTCCCCCTTTTTAAAATGTTTTAGGACCCCTGTGCTATTACTTTGAAGTTTCTGCTGAAACTTCCATCACAACAGTAACTTTCGTCCTGTTGTATTTGCAAGATGAACATCTGTGCAATTAAAAAAAAATGGTTGGAGATCAATGACTCTATCTACCAGACCAGCAATTTTTTTTTGCTTCCAATGAAATGGTTTATGTATGAACCTGTCATCTAAAGGGGAGAAAGTTGGAATGCTATTATTTTTTCTCTTCTCTTTTCCTATTTTCAAAAAATAGAACTGATTACAATACAGCTCAGTGTGTCAACATCTCAACCATTGTTCTCTGTCACAGTGACAAAAGCCTGGAATTTGTTTGCTGCTTTCATCAGCTACTCTTATATAGAAACCATAGCGGAGAACCAGGCCAATCTCTCGCCTTGTCCAATACAATCACTGTATCATACAAAATAGGATGCACAAGTAGAAAGCCATTTATGCACACATTTTATCTATACTTTCTCAGAAGCCTCCTGAGATTTTAGGCGGGGGGCTATGAATCACACGTGTTGAATTACAGCAGGAGAATTGCTTCAATGAAAGAAGGAAGTAACAGAAACCAAAAAATGACATGATGTGTATGACAAAATGTAGTGTGTCCCTTTGGCAGACTTGATTTGTACATGGCACGTAGCTCTAAAGCACTCTAATTATGGTTAAGGGTTAGGTAAAGGTAAAGGTTCCCCTCGCACATTTATGGTAGTCGTTCCCGACTCTAGGGGGCGGTGCTCATCTCCGTTTATATATATATTGTAATAGCTTTATTGTCCACAAAAACAGGAAGTAAACATAAAAGAAAATTGTTACAGTTCTGCAGATTCACAAACACTGTACATCAGTTGATCTGCTGGTGTGGTTCACTCTTAAATTGTAGAAGAAAATTATATCATAAGGTTATCAAGCTTTTTTGGAAAGTGGAACATTTGCTTTCTATAGAAAAGGCCCCCAGCTTCTATTTTTGCTTTTATTTCATTTCAGATAGGACTCTGCTTGATGAATCAATTAATAATATTTTCATATAAGGCAGTTTTGTATGTGCACCCTCAATAATTATTTTTCTCCCGTTCTTTGAATTGCTCATTATTTCTATATAAGGTGCTGGTGCCTTTAGTGCCATTGATGAATTCTGTCTATGGGTCTCTTAAATAAACATTAAAGAAAATAGTTTAATATATACAGAATACACACACACACAAACACAGAGGGGGGCTAAGATGCTGAACTTGTCGATCAGAAAGATTGGCACTTCAGCAGTTCAAATCCTTAGCACCGTGTAATGGAGTGAACTCCAATTACTTGTCCCAGCTTCTGCCAACCTAGCAGTTCGAAAGCATGTAAAATGCAAGTAGAAAAATGGGAATCACCTTTGGTGGGAAAGTAACAGCATTCTATGCACCTTCGGCGTTTAGTCCTGCTGGCTACATGACTACAGAGACATCTTCGGACAGCACTGGCTCTTTGGCTTTGAAACAGAGATGAGCACCGCCCCCTAGAGTCAGGAACAACTAGCACATATGTGCAAGGAGAACCTTTACCTTTACTTTTATATACAGAAACGCTTTATATTAAACTAGGGCAATTTCCACCAAAATGACTAAGAAACAAATATCAATGTATCCATAAGAGTGATACCAGTTTGATGGTGTTTTGGTCAACTTTTTCATACTTTGGTTAGGAAAAGCTACCGGTACTTGATATTCTTAAACATGGGTATGAGTATAAATTACTCTTAATGTTGAAATAAAAATTGCAAACAAGCATCAAGTCATGGAAACAAGCATATAATGATATATTTTATCCCCAAAAATGTAAATTTCATCTAAACATTAGTGAGATTTCAGCCGCCTGACCTCTCAAAGGTCAGGCGAGTCACAGTGGACAGTATCACAAAAATGTGAACACATTCTGCAGATGCTATTAAAAAGTGAATCTCGTGCTTGGAATCATTAAGAAGGAAATAGAAAAATGAATTGTCAGCATCATAGTCTCCTTATAAGAATTTTTGATGAGACTATAATTAGTCCATAATTAGACTAGCATGTACAACTCTATGTATAATTAGGGTCAACACAACTTAAACACAGAGCTGCAAAAGGGACCAAAAATGTTCTCCAAAGTGATTAGAGGGATGGGCAGCCTTTTTGTGCCCCTCTTTGGCTTCCAATAATGATCAAGAGAAACATGATGGAAATATATAAATTCATGGATGCCATAGAGAAAGTGATTTTTTCTTCTTCTTTCTCAGTACTAGAGCTCATCCATTGAAACTAAATAGGTTCATGGCCTACAAAAGGAAATACTTTTTTTACTTAGTACTTTTAGTTAAAGTACTGTCACTAGCTGGTAAGGACAGCGAATTTTGAAGTGAACCAGGACAAGTCATGAAAGATCAGGGTATTAATGGCTACTAATGTGATGCCTTCTCACTATCTGCTGAATCAAAAGCAACTCTGCTTAAATCCTGCTTGCTAGGAAGTGACAGCAAAAACAAGCTTTTGCCCCTAGCCCACACTTGTGGGCTTCCCAGATGGGTCCGTGTGGCTACTGTGTGACACAGAATACTGGATTAACTCAGTCAAGGTCTGATCCAGGAGAGCAATTCTTATCTACTTTAAGTTCTAGCAGAATGTGTTCAGGTGGTCCTCGACTTACAATAACAATTGGGACCGGAATTTCTGTCACTAAGCAGAGAGTCATGCCCGATTTTATGCTACATTAAGTGTATCACTGAAGTCATTAAGTGAATCACATGATCCTTAAGAGAATCTGTCTTCCCATTGACTTTGCTTGTTGGAAGCCTCCTGAGATCACCAATGGCAATCATGTGACTCCAGAATGCTAATCATGCGACTCCAGAATGTTACACACAATTGTAAATACATGCTGGTTGCCAAGGGCAGGAATTCTGCAATGGTCTTAAGTGTGAGAACTGGTCATGTCATTTTTTTTAACGGCTGTCATAACTTCAAACAAGAATAGCTGTAGGTCAAGGACTACCTGTATTAGCTTTTAAGATGCTGCAAAAGATTCCTTGATATCTGAAACAGTTATTCCTCTAAAACGGCTTCCTATTTCAGCATCCTAAAGCTGGGAGCTTGTCCATATGTCCCACATATTGGCTAATTCTATTATTTCATCTAATAACTTCACCCACCAACTTAAGAATGCACAGTATTGTAACATCAGAGCCATAGACGTCAAGGATAATTATTTCTGCTTGTTTTCCACTGTATTGCTTTAGAAGCTTAGTTATCTTGGCTTCATCCCATGCAGGTGCTTTTACTGCAAATGTTTCTAATATGAAATGATTTGGACTGAATTGCTTGATTTGTATTTCATTGACTTGTACTTGATGAGCGAGCTTCATGCGAGCAGATGCAGATTTCCCCCCCTTCCTTTGTACTTAGAGCAGGGCCTTTGTCTTCAATTTAAAGGAAGGAATTGGTTTTGAAAATAATGGACAGAGTAACGAGTTTGGCGGTTTTAGGCATTAAGTTGCCACAAAGGCTGACTGCTTGCTACAAGCACCGTTACCTAGGAACGTTGACCATTGTTGCTTCTGCCTCACATTGTTTACTGCTTCTCAGGAGTTGCTTATGACTGAAGTGAAGAGCGCCAGTAGTTCAGCTGACTCTCACCTGACGGTATCTCCTAGTGTGGCCCTGTCTTTTCCCTCCCTTTCACTTAACAATGCTTGACGAACTGCAGTGGGGTTTTGGTGACTAAATGGCTTCCCTCTCTGCTCCTTCCATCACTAGTGATGCAGTTTTTGTGCACAAAAGTGTGAGATGGTCTGACAGCAATTCCATTTCCGTCAATACTTCTACTAAAGGCACCGGTTTCGGTTGCCTTGGAAACATCAGCTCAAGGTTTCAGCTGAAAAACTTAATTATAGCAGTTGCTTAAAATGTTCCATGATGTATGTATGTGGCTATGCTGGATGAGTAAGATTCATTATTATCATCCACCCACATTTCATAAAAAGTACATTAAACCTCAAGGAGGCCGTGCCTTCACAGGGAGGGTGGGGTACTCTTTATCTCCCTTGTCAGCAACCATTTGCTGAAGGACTATCCTCACACATTTGTAACTGAGCTCTTCCAGACATTCTCCTGATGTGGCCTTCTTATACAGTAGTATCACAAAAATATGCACATGTCATATTTGGATCGCTGCTATTGTAAGCACAATGCTAGCTCAGAAAGGTCTACCAAAGAAGGGAATTGGCAAGGAATCTGGATGGGTAGGGTTGCCCCTTGTTTAGGTCTCAGGCATCACAAATACTTTGTCTGGAAGTGCTTTAATGTCCTATTCTCTCTTTTCCCCCCCTTTAATTGCACCAGGATGGAGTAAGAAGAGTATGCTTGTTCCCATAAACCATTTTAAAATCTGTTTTTGCTCTCTGTTAAGATTTCTTTGCATGGACAAATTGTTACCGAAACATCAAGAGAATGTTATTTTAAAATATACATTTTAGGGGTGTCTATATTTTATATTCATGGTGTCTTAAAGGTCTTTTGCAGTAAGAAATGCTTTGATTTGGATGGAGACAAATCAAATAATATTTCTAACATAATTAAATATGTAAAAAAATATTTATTTTAGGAACTCAGAATCTATTCTGTCCCGAAGCATTATTGTTCTGTGACATTTCATATCATTCTGTTTGATTTTTCATTGTGCATCCAATAGAAACTGAAAATTAGACGCCACTCGTATTTATGTCTGCCTCTTACAGCTAGCATTAAAAGGCCATTATAACACAAGTAGTTTAAAGGAACTTATTTACAAGGAATCCCACATATACAAGAGCCATATACTCTTTTCTTTTTTTCCACTATATTAAGGCCATATATATTCATCTTTTTCTCCTTCAATTGAATTAGCAAAATTGTAGTATTCAGGTAATTTTTAACCATAATTATTTGGACCAACTTTTTTCATAAACCTGAAGTGAAAAGTGAAGATCCTTGAGATTCCAGGAAAGCTATTAAAAAGCTATTTTCAATTCTGCAGGATATTATTATAATGGTGCATTCACTATATATACATTTAGCATAAACATTTTGCAGATTTTAAATCCACAGGCATGCTTCTAGAAATCTCAGCTTGATTGAAATATGACATTATATGCTAAAGTGATTGCATATCAATTTTCTCTCCTTCCAACTTAGTAATTTTCTGCAGTGGTAAGTAAGATCTATACTGTATATTTGATCCATCATCTTAACAAGAGACAAAATGATTGGTGTTGGATTGTTCCATTACTTTACACTTGAACCTGCAACAGCAAATGCTGTACTATTTGTTTTATTCCAGCAGGAATAAAAGTGTGTGATTTATTTGAACCTCATAAAAGACTTAAGTTCAGTGTCTGGATTCACAAACCTACAATAGTTATACCCAGCTTTTGCATAGAAGTAGTACTATGACTATAATTTCAGTTCAAGAGCAATGGAAAAGTAGTGGGTTTCAATTGTAAATGGGATGCAATCATAGGTGGTATTCAGCCAATATTCAGAGGTAGTTCTGGTGTACCCATAGTGCAAATTTTGAGTAGTTCAGAGAATCGGCAAATACCACCTCTGCTAGCCCTGTCCTCCCACCCCAGCCATTTCTGGCCCTATCTTCCCTGGATTTTTAGCTCAGCTGATTCACGCAGCAGAGCGGATTGCTGTGCCTCAGCTGAGCTAAAAAAAGCAGCTCAGCTCACCAGCACTGACATCAAGAGTGGTCTTTGAGTGCTGCACGCACATGCGCACAAAGCGTGCATTAGGCGCACTTTCATAGAACCAGTAGGAAAATATTTGGAATATAAACTGGATGCAATGTCTACTATTGATATAGATGTAATTGTTGAGTGACTATTTATGCCAGAACACAAGCATTAGAAAATAGTTAAAAGAGGAAAAAAAGGAATCCGGTGTTTTACAGTAATAAAATGATTTGTTCTTCAGGCAAAATATTGATTGCTTTCCTTAAATGGTATGGGAGTGGTCTTGTTCTAAATTGCTGATTGCATACAGAAGAAAAGATTATGAGGGTGTTTTGCTTTATTTTGTAGGAGCATTGTGCTGCTGATGTGGAGCCCATTGCCTTGGAAGGGGCCATGCAATTTGGCCTCTCAAGAAACAGCCATATTGCAGTTGCATTTGATGACACAAAAGTTAAGAACAAGTAAGCTAATTGTTTCCCACCATAGATTTGAGGGAGCTACCTTTTGTGTCTTTCTAGAAGGCCATGAAGATCTGGCTCTTCCCATGGGCCTCAGGCTAAGATGGGGGGGGGGGTAGTCAGAAGGTTGAAAAGTTTAGTTAGTCTGGCACCTGGTGTTAAGGATTGTTCTGTTGTCATTCTTCTTTTTAGTACTCGTAATGAACCATCTAGCATCACTGTGTGAAATAGGCAGGCTCCTAGGTTTCTTTAAATAGTAAGTCTATTCTGAAATAAAGTTGAAAAGAAATTATTTCTAATAGTAACATTTGCTAAATCGTATGTGTTTTAAAACAAGACGGCCACTACTCAAAGCTTTGAAGATGGGTGAGCCCATTTTTTTTCAAGCCTTCATAAAATGAATTTAGTTCAGTTATTATACTGCCTATGTCAAAAGGATTTAATTCTAGAGTTAAAAATCACTTTTGAAATTTAGGTGGGTTTTTAAGCATAGATTTCCAAAAAAAGAGGGAGGGGAGGGAAAGGAAGGGAGAGGACAAATTGATTTAACTGATGGGTATTATTTTTCCATGGTAAGTGGGTTCATTTTTTTCCCAATCCAACAGAATGTTGGAAATATAATATATAAAAAGGGTTGAGATTCTGTTTTTCAGCAGAATAACTTTTCCAATAACAGAATTTAGGGAGATTAAATTTGGCATGGTAAAGGACAAAAGAAGGAAGGAAGGAAGGAAGGAAGGAAGGAAGGGAAGGAAGAAGGAAGGATATTAGATAAATTCCATGTACTCTATTACCCACTTTATATATTTGTTAGTTCTTGTTTTATAATGAATGTCATCTTGCACGTTAAAAGGGTTTAGATTTGCTTTCTCTAGTGGTTTCTTTTCAACTGATAATGATAGGATATTTCAGAATTATTTCATATGGATGTGCTCAGGACTCATGCATATTCTTCCAGTAATTTGAAAACTAAGCTCTGACAGCTGATTCTCAAGACAGACTGTGTTCTGTGTACCACAGAACATACGTATATTCTTTTTTTTTCAATCCCCAAAAGAAGATACTTTCAAATCATAAATCACATCTGTTACCAAATCCATGAATATTACATCTGTATAATTTAATAAGTTTAGAAATGGAATATGGACATCCTGGTTCTATTTCACATATGGAGAAATTTGCAGTTGATAGCACTAGCTGTATGGGGGGGGGGAGGGAAGGTAAAACAGTAATGCTTTTTGAATGTCCTCCCTTTCTGTTTCCTTGCTTTTCCAAATGTGCAGACTCACAATTGAACTTGAAATCAGAACAAAGGCTGAAAATGGGCTGCTTTTCTACATGGCTCGGATCAATCATGCTGATTTTGCCACTATCCAGATAAAAAATGGTTTTCCGTATTTCAGTTATGACCTTGGGCATGGAAACACAAGCACTATGATTCCCAACAAAATCAACGACGGCCAGTGGCACAAGGTAGTATATGATTTAGCAATGTGTGAATGGATAAAGGATACATTCCTCTATAGATTATCACCCTCAAAACTCACCCCTCCCTGTAGTGAATTGTAGAAGTAATGAATAGAACAGCAGTGTGTCATGTTCTTAATTACAAGGGCTTTGGAAATGGTCTGTTCCTTTAGAGGTAGCTTAATCTGATTTGGGATTCAAGACTAAACTAGGATGCAGAGTTTTATTCTCAAACAGAGCTTCCCTCCTCCCCAATGCAGAATGAATGAATGAATGAATGAATGAATGAATGAATGAATGAATGAATAAATAAATAAATAAATAAATAAATAAATAAATAAATAAATAAATAAATAAATAAATAAATAAATGTGAGTTTTATTTTTAGCAGAATGAAATGAAATTTGTCCCTAGATTATAGCTTTGCAAGAGGAGGGAACATAAGCAATTCTATAAATATCCATCCAGTTTGAAGCTGCCAAGGTTGAGAAACACTGTGTTAGACATCAGAGTCCAATTGTTAAATAGTAATGTAGCTACAAGTTGATGCACTGTAAGAGCTTGAGAGCAGCCTTTTTATGTACAGGTAATCCTTGACTTATGACTGCAATGGAACATGCCCATATGGTCATAAATTGGGGGCTATCACAAAACAGATTAACATTGATAACAAGTTCTGGTTTCCATTTATTACTTACAGATACAGGAAACCTCAGATGACACCACCATCAATACTGAGGTCCACCTATAAATGTTCAATCAGAAAAAAATATCCCTTTTTTATTTCCAATATGTATGTTGTCTAGGAAATGTAGGAAATATGCTCCTCTCACATACAAAGGGCATTAGTTTATGGAAGGCTGTTGTAATTTGTAATATCAGTCTATGTTGGGAATAGGTTTCAGAGACCGTTGTATATTTTAATATTAAACATCTAACCTGAGACTAGATTGAAGGTATTTATCCACCTAAAAGACATACGTAATAGCAAAATTAATATTACATAGTGTGGCCAAACATGCTTGTTAACTCAGTATTAAGTTTCTCCATCTTCAGGTTCTCCCAAATAAGAGCACAAAATTGTGCAAGGTCAGTACCTCTAACAAAGGCTTTGTTTGTTGTAGTATAACTAATAATAATAATGAGTTGCCCTTCTATCTTTTTCCAGATAAAAATATTCCGAAGCAAACAACAAGGAGTCCTGTCAGTTGACGGAACTACAAATAGGACCACTAGCCCAAAGAAAGCTGATATTTTGGATGTTGTGGGGATGCTGTATGTTGGGGGATTGCCAATTAACTATACAACAAGAAGAATTGGTCCAGTAAGTAAAGAACAACTCTTTTCACATTTCTAAAGCACTGACAAAAAAGAGTTGTTTGTTATGCACAAGTGTAAAAGTAAAGCGGTATTTGGCATTCATTGTCTTTGAAAGAACATGGGCCTTGTTCCATGCAAATGATCTGCATTTGCCTTTCTTTTGATTGATCTGGGTTTTTTCCAGACTAGTCATGCCCTTTTTGTAGGAAACAATCATGTCATTTAGGGAGACGAAGTTTCTCTGTCTTTGTAGGCATTAATCTAAATGTCTGTGTCGTATCACTGAGAAGCAGATCCTATGTAGAATTTTTATATTACCAGTGCAACTTGTCTTTGAACAGAAAACAGAACAGAATAACAGAGTTGGAAGGGACCTTGGAGGTCTTCTAGTCCAATCTCCTGCTCAAACAGGAGACTCTATACCATTTCAGACAAGTGCTTGTCCAGTCTCTTTTTAAAAATTTCCAGTGATGGAATATCCACAACTTCTGAAGGCAACCTCTTCCACTGATTAATTGTTCTAGCTATCAGGAATTTTTTCCTTATTTCTAGATTGGTTCTCTTCATCCTAGGTATGAGGTAACATAATTACTGTAGCAATCCTGAAAACTGTAGTGTAGTAGACCTCAACTACTGTTCATAAAAAGTGTATTAACATTAGTGTACTATGCATTCCTATCTGGAATCAAGGCTTAATTCCAGGTAAGTGTGTATAGCAACCACAGGTTAATGTTTTGGATATAGGAAATTCCTGTATCCCTACATTGCAGTCTTTCTTTTATACAATCACTGTTCTTAGTTTTAATAACAGTGTTGGGCTTTACTCAGCCCTGAAACACACTTTGGGCTAATCACTATTACCCAGCTCCATCTATTTCCTAAATTGATAGGATAACATTGGGGGTGGGGCAAAGATCTGTAAAAACCACCAAGAACTCCTTCAACATAGGCAAGATATGGCTACAATAAACAAAAATCATACAACTCTTTCAAAGGAATCAGCTGAGAATGATTAGTCATAACTTTTAATCGAAACTTAGTTACCTGATACCAGGTATTCCACATTAATTGCTGCCTATTCATTTTCATTAAACATTGTTCTTCTATCACTTACTTTTCTAATGTTCACCCAACTCTTGATTGCCATTTTTTTTTATTCTTTCAAAAACATTTTTGCATGAATAGGGATGTAACTGCTTCGTACAATATAAATCAGATAAAACATTACATGTATAGTGAACCAAAGCAATAGGTCACCCATTTTAACACTGCACTGAATTCATACTTTAACTTACTGCTATTGCAAAATAGTAGGAACATTTGTAGGAGAAATTGCTTAGTAACAAATTGTTCTGCTGAAGGAAGCATGACCAAACAAGAAGAAAGGGTTTATTTTATAGAAAACAAAGTTCTAAAAAAAAAAACATTGTCCCATAGTGAATTGGCAGCAGCGAATTGTCCTGTGGCAAGTTGGCCATGGTTTGTCGATCCATTCTGGGTTATGAGGGCCCTTACTGTACATCTCACATGCCAATTGTTCCCCTTTCTGAATTGGAAGTTCCTCCTCATTGCCACTCATATGTATCTTGTTGCACTTGTTGGGATTGTTACAGGGCATTCTACCTGAGGCTGATCGTGAAGATTACTTGGAAGTTACAGCTGGTCTGCAATGCAGTAGCATGAGTAGTTATGAGCCTACCTTCTTTGCATGCCTATGCAGCACCACTACTTTGTGAACTGCTTTGGGTGTTTGTGAACTTTCCCATACCGTTGAAGGTGTTGGATGACACTTACAAACCCCTTCATAGAATAGAGCCAATTTATTCATAATACCAATAATTTCTGCTCATCTCACAAGATTAAACATGCCCTGGGTCTCCTTTATTAAACACTGCCACCTCAGGAAGTTTCCTTTTTCTGTTTCAATACCTACATTATGGAAAAATTCACACATACACACACTGGATCACCCAAACTCTGAATAGCCCTAACCCTGCTGACTTGTTCTAAGGCACTGAAGAACTAATTGTTAGCCACTAACTTTCTTAAGGATTTTTACCCTGACTCAGGTTGTCTACAGCATTGATGGATGTATGCGAAACTTTAGAATGTCAGAATCTCCCATTGATCTAAATAATCCTACCTCCATCTACAACGTTGGAAGATGCTTTGTCAATCCACAGGAAGGAACCTACTTTGCAGGGACAGGATTTGCCAAAACAGGTAATGCCATCTCAAAATCTGCTCTTAAATGAACACTTGGGGATCCTTGATGCTCTCTGAGCTTGGTTTCTTGCAGACATTTCATTATGATTATGTTACCCTTAGGTAATGAAAAGTCTGCAAGAAAACAATCAAGCATAGAGAGCACCAAGAACTGCTCATTTCAACCCTGAGTGACAAATATTCTCCTTTATTGTTACATGAACATTTTGAAAATCCCGGTTAGGCCTTTCTGTTTAGATAGTTGCCAAGGGAGGAATGATAACAGAGAATAACAACTGAAAAGTGTAGAACAGACATAGAAGAACAGTTTCATCTTCAGAGGCTTGTTGAATTTGAAATTCTTTAATGACAAGAATGTTGCCCTTGAGGCATAATCACATATTACAGCGGTGGTAATAATCATCATGTTTAATATCTATACAAGATTGTTGTAGTTCTGATTTTTAATAAGATTTGGAATAGATTAATTACAATTCTTGACACTATGAGTTGCTATTTGAAATAGCTCTCTGTGTGTACAGGTAGCAATAGATACATACTTGCCAATCTGATTAACAAATGTGACTTTTATGTATGGTGTCAATAGGTGAAGAAATGTATCATATGCCACACTATCATTCACCAAAACTATTTGCTATATAAAGTAACTGTGAAATACAAATGTTGTCCTTAGTGCAGTGGTACCTGCATCTCTGTACAGTATAGAAAAATTACCCTTGCATTATTCTTACTTACTGCTTTTCCTTCCTTATTCCTTAGTTGGAGCATATAAAGTGGGACTAGACTTACAGGTGGAATTTGAATTTCGTACAACACGGACAAATGGTGTTCTGTTGGGAATCAGCAGTCAGAAAATGGATGGCCTTGGCATTGAGTTGGTAGATGAAAATGTGAGTATGGAACGATTAGGAAAGAATCTAATTAAATGTTGTTTCTCAGCAGCTCTAAAGAGACTCTATCAAAGGATATTGAGCCATGTTACTCATCCATTGTTCCACATCTGTATCTTGACCACTGTTTTCTTTTTAAGCATGAAAATGATTCTCCCTGAGGCCGGTGATTTTTGCAATACAGTTGAAGTCAGAGTACAGTCTAACAAACTATATTCTACAAATTTAAATTTGGGAGGTGGCTGATTCCATAACATTTTCACAGTTAAAGTATTATTATGAACCTAATCTGCATTTGTTAGAACAGTCTTGCAAAATCCCTTCTAATTAAACTTCTGCTCCCTTTCCAAAATCCCATTTTGGTTCTGCTAAATTATTTCTAAAATAAATGCTGCTTGAATACAAATAGCCAGCTTGTACAAACATTGAAATAATCAAGCCCTATTGTTGTAGTACTGTTGTCGGTCTATTATCCATTTTAGATTTTGGCAGCAATCAATCGACAAACAGTATGATCCATAATTTGTGCTTTCTCGCCAAAATTGCTTCTCAGTTATAAATTAATTTCAAGTGGACCCTTGAATTCAGAATATTCATTCATTTACAGTGGTTAAGAATTTAATCACAGCTTTTCTGAAAAAGATAATTAAGTCTCAATATGTTGAATGAGAAAGCCAGGCCTACACATTGTATCACAGTTTCTTCCAAGTGATGTGGAGAAGTGCTTGACTAAATTCCTTGTTTGTTTGTTTGTTTGTTTGTTTGTTTGTTTGTTTGTTTGTTTGTTTGTGTAATTTCTCACATAGGTGATGTTCCATGTCGATAATGGTGCTGGTCGGTTTTCAGCCATTTATGAACCTGCTATAACAGGGAGTTTGTGTGATGGGCATTGGCACAGAGTGGTGGCACACAAGATGAGGCATCGTTTAATGCTGACAGTGGATGATCAGCACGTGGAAGGGATCAGCCCTAATGCAGCTTCCACTTCAGCAGAGACAAATGATCCTGTCTTTGTTGGAGGATATCCTGGTGAGTAAATAAACCAAGACAGTGCTGCAGCTCCTATTCTTCATTATTATTTAATTTATTACTTTTATTATAGCCACCAAACCCCAATGGAATCCCTTTATGAAATTCTATTCGGTTTTTCATAAAGTAAAATCTTTGAAACCAAGAAATTATACAAGTGCACACGATCTGGATTGAGCCTGGTGGTGTTAAATAGAAAACAGCAATGGAAGTGCATGTTTAAAAATGTTCTGTTCACAAACATCGTGGGAAAAGAACTTTTATTTTTCAGCATTTCTCTTCCAAATTCAACTTTTGAACTCTGTATTTGCACCTAAGGTTCCCATCTATTTACCTAGTTATTTGCTTGCTCATTTTGTTTCATCTTTTTGCTCAAATTGAACAGAAAGGTTATTACATATCATTATCACCTTGATTAGTGTGCCCTGGATGGGATTAAAATCATAACAGGTTGCGATAAGTAGTGATTGTCGCATGGCATAGCAAAAACTAGTAAAAAGGTGAATGACATGCACTTATGCAGCAGAGATAAATTCCTTATGTGTCCAATCACAGTTGGCCAATAGTCTCTTCTCTCCTCTGCTCCTCCCTCCCCTTCCCTTCAATTCCCTTTCATTCAATTCCCTTCCATTCAATTCCCTTCAATTCCCTTCCCTTCAATTCCCCTCCTTTCCCTATTCTATTCTATTCCATTCCATTCTTTTTCTATTATTCTATTCTATTCTGATTTTCTAGGGATAAAGTACAATCTGAAAGTATGGTTTTTATGTTATTCAGTTATTAAAAATATGTTTCTTCAATTGCAGTAATGTACGTTTCATTATTCTATGATAGGGTTGTTGAACTCAAGGCCCGGGGGCCAGATCTGGCTCACAGGGTGCTAAGATCTGGCCTGTGGGGCCGCCTTGGAAACAGCGAAGGATTGGCCCACAGTACCTCTACCAGCAAAAACAGAACTCACGACAGCTGCGGACAACCCTCACAAGCTCTGTTTTCGCTGGCAGATGGTTGCAAGAGGCAGTCGCAGGTAAAAACAGAGATCGGGAGCCTGCTTTTGCTGGCAGAGCACTCAGGCCACCACAGGCATACATGCCATGAGTGACAAGGTGGCCACACCCACCCCAGCCTCCCGAGGTCAAACACAACCCTGATGCGGCCCTCAATGTAAACGAGTTTGACACCCCTGTTCCATGACAATTGTCCCTGTGCCATATATCTACAAACAACATCTATGTATATGAGTTCACATATATATGTAAAGAAAGACATTTGGTAACAGTTTGCACTGTTATCTACTTACAGAAAAAGATTTTTTTAAAAAAACAAAAAACCTCAAGATCTGAAAGGTCCTACTTTCTTTTCTTTATCTCTCCCCTCCCAGATGGATTGAAGCAGTTTGGCCTGACCACTAATATTCGATTCAAAGGCTGCATTAGGTCTCTGAAACTCATCAAAGGGACAGCCAAACCCCTGGAGATTAACTTCAGCAAGGCCTTGGAAATAAAGGGAGTGCAACCTCTGTCCTGCCCTGGGAATTAAAGAGAAAAATCGTCAAATTGCAATAGGAATCTGTGAGCAGTAATGCTAACAAAAAGATTCTTTTACAAATATGCCTGTGATATATTCCAATACTGCCATTTCAGGGTGTACTTCTAAAAGCAATATAAGACAAGAAAAAAAATCCCTTAAAATGAATAAAGCAGCAACTTACGCATGTGTGATGTGTCCATTTTTTCCCCTTACTTTCAAGCAAAATGGAATATTACAGAATGAAATTGTACTGTGTCAGTTTGTGTTGGTAGTAGTGTGTAATTTTGAGACTCACCTTTTAGCCTTAGTTGGTTTTAGTGGGACTCAACGGCCTTCTGCAGGATTTTTTGAAAAATTATTTGCAGCTTTGGATAGCACAGTCCAATTTTCTTTTTTCTTTTGCCTCCCCATTTCTGTGAGCAGGATGTGGCTAGCAATGCAATTTCATGTTTCAACCTATCGTGTCTTTGGCTCTAGGATAAAACATAGTGAAAGTAGTTACATCATCACTAATGTTTTATGGCTGTCTATTGTGATATGTAAGAATGAACATAACATCCACATATAAATATAGTTAAAAGTCTGTAGAGATTCTCAGTCATCCAGGTCATGGTTGTCCCAAAGGTGCTTTTTCAGGAGGCAACTGGACTTTCTTGTTTTTTCCTTTGAAGATATTTTGCTTCTCATCCAAGACAGGATAGTGGGGAATGGAAGGATTTATAATCCTTGCAGACAGCTGATCATTTGCATCCTTTTAGATTATAAATCCTTCCATTTCCCACTATCCTGTCAGAGGTGAGGAAGCTTCTTGGATGAGAAGCGAATCATTTTCAAAAGAAAAAACAAGGAAGTCCAGTTGCCTCTTGAAAAAGCATCTTTGAGATATAAATATAGTGTTTGCTTTTTATGGGAAGGAATAAGGTATTTCAATTAAGGGGAAGAACAGCAAGAATCCCAAAAGAGTAGATGTGTTCAAGATTCACTTGCCAGAAAAAGATATTTTATGAGTACATTATGTATTGTGTACATACACAATAAATATTAATACTGTATTTGTGCCTGGTA